GCTCCCTGAAACCCCACCCCAGGGAGGCTGGCTGGAGGAGGGAGGCTGGGTTTTGTAGTCCAAGCACTCTGAGGGCAACCCCCTCCACAGGGCTTTGTCGTCACCCAGCCTTCAGGCAGGGCACCATGGCTGCTGTAGGCGAGGCCTTTCGGCCTGAATCTCTCTAGCTGGTGACCCGCACGACTGTGCATCGCCCTGCCTTTCCTTCACACATACTTGAGAAGCTATTGGCAGCACACTCTGTCAATCAGAGAGCGAGCTTGCCGGGTCCTATTCATTGGTCCATTATCTAATCCCTCAAAGGACAAGACCCATCTCTTCTGAGGTGAGTCTAACACTGATTGGTCTTCAGGTATTTCTCACCTTCCAAACAATTCCCGCCCCCCCGCCACGCAATATGCTATTGGCCGGACTTGCTGCCAATCTCCTCTCTCGTCCTGTCCCTTGGCCCGCCCCACTCCCTTCCCCTCCCACGGCCTGAGCGGCGTATTTTTAAAACCGCTGCCGCCACAAGCTTTTGAAGGTTTACCCATCCTCCCATTGGACAAGGGAGCGATCAATCACGAAGAAGGTCCCGCCCTCTCTTCGCTTCGCACACTGCGATACGCTCATTGAGTTATCTGCCCTATGATTGGCCGACAGTTTTGCCCACGGCCTCTTTGAATATCACAGGGAAGCGAAAGGCCGCTGCTTGAGGTGCTTTCCCGCTGCGTTAAGGTAGCGATGATTTACCTCTTTTGTACCTGATTGGTTGACACAGTAGTCAGTTCGCTTTATCAAGTCTCCATTTGCTAGACGTCCACGGGTCCCTCCTTCTGTGCATACGATTGGAGCAAAAGGCGGAAGACCCGACCGCCTCTTCCCCCTTCATTGGCTGTCGGTGGTGAGGACGGCCCACCTCGCGAGTGGCGATTGGCAGCGCTCCGCGTGGCCAGTCCTCGATAGGCTGAAGCCGCAAATCGACACCCGCCCCCTTTGGCTGGGGTCTCGCAGTCTCTGCCTCCGAGCGCTCATTCGGTCAGCGGCTGCCGCAGCGAAAAGAGCGGAGTGTGCGGGATGGCGGCGGGCGAGGGCGGGGCCGAGTCGCTGCCCCCGCCCTCCCCCTCCTTACCAGGCCCCCTTCCGGGCCCCGAACGCGCCTTGGAGGAAGCGGCGGCCTCGGGCAGCCTGAGCCTAGCGGGGCGGCGCCTGAGGCATTTCCCGGGAGGAGCCGCCCGGCGCTGGGACCTCAGCGACACCACGCAAGCAGGTGAGATCCTTGGCCACGCCCACGGCCCCTTCCGGGCCAGGCGCCCGTCGCCCTATCCCGGACCTTTTAGCTCCGCCCCCGCGGCTTACGCTCCTCCTCCTGCTGCTGCTGCTGGTGCTGCTCCTTCCGTTTCCTAGCGACCTCGCTCCCCCCCCTCCCCGCGGCTCGTCCCACGCCCTCCTCTGAACACCCTGGCTCCACCCCTTCTTGGCCACGCCCACCTGCTGGACCCCCTTTTCCCGCTGAACCCAATTTCGGGTCTCTTTGGGAGGCTGCTCTTGTCCAAGGGCCTGGGGGCTTCCCTCCGCCCCCTCCCCACGCCAGGGGTTCCCCGGACCGGTGGGTCTCCTCGTCCAACCGACTGGAGCCTCGTCGGAAGGCCGTGGGGGACCACGAGGCCCGGGCCAAAGCCTGGCTGCCAGAAGGCAAAGCCCCACGATCCTGTATTGGGGAAGGCTGCCGCCTGAGGGACCCCTGCGCGCTCCCCCTGCAAGGTGGGCTCAGCTGAGGTCGGGCGCACCTTTGCCCTTCCTTTGCTTTCTGAGCAAAGACAGCCTCTCCTCTTCTCCGCCCCCCCTCCCCCGAATAACTCTCCTGAGCACCTTTCTCTTGTCCCTTGGCACTAAAAGGACTCTGGGCTGTGGCCTCCTGAGACTCTCCAGGGAAGATGGACCAGAGAGTTTCTCTCAGCTGTAGGGAGATGGGGGGCAAGGGAGATGGGGGGCAAGGGAGGTATGGCGCCTCAAAGGTTCAGGGAACCCCTTTGTCCTCAGCGTTGTTGGTATCTGGCAAAGGTGGACGTGGGTGAGAGAAGAGCCCTGCTGGATTAGGTCAGAGGTGGATCTAGTCTCTTGCCCTGTTCCCACAGCCCCCGTTCCCCCCCCCCCGTACAGAAGGACTCTCTGATTATTTCTTTCTTTTGGAAAGCTGTATGTCATTCTTTTAGTCTAGAGAGGATGTACTGCACATGCAAATGTCAGCACAGGGAAGAAGATGGAAATGGAAAGGTAGAAGGCGAAATCAAGGCTCTCGGCTTCCCAACTCGCATGAAAAATGCGGAATTTCTGAGGTGAAGCATTTGTAAACATCTGGGCAGATGAAAACCCTTTGGCTTTGTACCAGAAAGAGGTACCGGTGCTGGTGCCAGGCGAACCTCCAGCAGGAAGGCCTTCCGGAGCATTTCTGTGTGGCCGGCCTGAGGCTTCCTCTGTTTCTCCTCACAGGACAACCCCTTTGGGTTTTAGTATAAGGCAAGGCTGACCACCTCATTCCTAACTTTATACATCCAGTCATGCTCTGCCCCTTGTTGATCTTCTGTGCCATCAAACCATGTCTGACTTTGTAGCTGCCTTAACTGTTGTTGTTGTTTAGTCGCGTCTGACTCTTCATGACCCCACAGACCAGAGCACACCAGGCCCTCCTGTCTTTCACCGCCTCCCAGAGCTGGGTCAAATCCATGTTGGTTGCTTCAGTGACCCTGTCCAACCATCTCGTCCTCTGTTGTCCCCTTCGCCTCTTGCCTTCACACTTTCCCAACATCAGGGTCTTTTCCAGGGAGTCTTCTCTTCTCATGAGATGGCCAAAGGATTGGAGCCTCAGCTTCAGGATCTGTCCTTCCAGTGAGCACTCCGGGTTGATTTCCTTGAGAACGGATAGGTTTGTTCTCCTTGCAGTCCAGGGGACTCTCAAGAGTCTCGTCCAGCATCACCATTCAAAAGCATCAATTCTTCAGCAGTCAGCCTTCTTTATGGTCCAGCTCTCATTTCCATCCATCGCTAGTGGAAAACCCATAGCTTTGACTATGCGGACCTTTGTCAGCAAGGTGAGGTCTCTGCTTTTTAAGATGCTGTCTAGGTTTGTCATCGCTTTCCTCCCAAGAAGCCGGCATCTTTTAATTTCGTGGCTGCTGTCACCATCTGCAGTAATCAGGGAGCCCAAGAAAGTGAAATCTGTCACTGTCTCCATACCTTCCCCTTCTATTTGCCAGGAGGTGGTGGGGCCAGTGGCCATGATCTTAGTTCATTTTGATACATTTTCTAATTGTGCCCAGAAGGGAATCTACCTTTTTCATAGCAGTGTCTGTGTTTGTGCTCAGAAGTGTGTTCCCTTTGTCACACCAAGAGGCTGGGTGCATGCTGAATCTCAAGAACCTGTTAGTTATTCTGCCCCCCCCCCAAAAAAAAAGAATGTGGGTTTTGCTGTGTCTCTCTTGTCAGGCTCTTGCATAGGATTGGAGCTATGGGCCTGCTGCATTTTATTTGGCTCACAGAGAAGCAGAGAATCTGTAAGGTCACCCAGATTACATGTTAAAGTTCAGCTTCTAGAAATTTTCTTGCTGTATTAAGGTTTTCTGTGTGCCTGCTTAGCTTGTATGAAGCATGGAAAGGAGTCCAGAGGCATCCATGAAGATGCCACTGTTGGAAAAGAGGTCTCAGCTTGCATCTGTGCGAGAGAGAGGAGCGTGTGGCTGGCCAGCTGACTAGTTGGCTGGTGGAGTGGGTTGTTGAAAGATGTGATAGAATCTCCCGCGACTGATTTTATTCCGAGGAGTGGCTCTTTACAGGCCAGGTCATGGGTAGTGGCTTGGAAAGTGAGGGTCCTGGGTCTCTCTCTCTCTCTCTGTGTGTGTGTAGAGCAGTCAATACGAGAAATAGAGGCGGAAAGGGAGAAAGAGAGAGCGCCTGTAGGGCTAGACTGGGCCTATGCTTCTGGGGCTGGAGTTAGAATGTGAAGTAGAGCAGCTCTAGGAGAGCACCACTTCCTGTTTTTCTGCTTTGTAGATCGATTTTAGTGGTGGGTCTTGTCTAGATGCAGCCTGTGTGCTGAGTTCCCAAACAGCAGGATTCCCCCCCCCCCCACTCTGGCAGCAGAAAGCGGAAGTGAAATAACTTAAGCCCAAAGGCAAGTGAGGAGTTGGGTGTCCCAAGCTAGCGATCAAGATGTGGAGTTGTAAGCTGGGGGTTGCAGGGGCTGAGTTCCCCCAGATGACATGGGGGGATTCGTAAAAAGACTCCTGTGACAGAGGGAGAGGGAGTGGGAGGGCGTGCGCACACCCACACAGACACACACATCTGCCAAAACAGTTTCCTCTGCCTTCAGGGCAAGGTTTCGTTTTCTTCTGCCTGTTTCTGGTGATGAAAAGAAGCATATATGCCTATATGAAGAAAATCTTTTTTTTACAATGGCATGGTTCTTGTTTGTGAAAACTTCGGGGCAGGTAATAAAAATGCCTCTTCTTCCTTCCCAGTTTCTGTTCTCTCTTGTTTTCTAGCCCTGGCATTCTCGTTTCTGCACAATACAACCAGGATGGGCCATGTGAGGGGTGCCACAGCGTGTCTTCTTGTACTGTGGCACCTGCCCTGAGATGCTGTTTGCAAGAGGTAGTTTCACCTGAATTTCCCCTTTTTCTGGAAAGACCTCCAAGGACTGATCTCTTTCTGACATACACGGGGCAAAATCCTGTTGCTTATCTGTGTGAGCAAAACTTGATGTTAAGCCCATGGTAGCTACCACAGCACCAAGGTGGAAGTGCCACCCACAAAACATTTCCATCAGTGCATGGTGGGTGAGGGTCACGGTGGGTGTTGTGCAAATTATTGTGCAATCAAATTGTACAATTCCCATCGCCCCGATGTAATTCTTGGCAAATTTACCCAGGCGTAAGTTTTTGTTACAACTGCAGAAAAAGGGATTTCAGCTGCTCTCTAAGTGCATATCAGCCTGTTGTTCTGTGTGGGCATCCCCTGCTCTAGCTTAGGAAGCTGATGAGGATGTGTCTCTTCAAGGGAAGCTTTTGATTGTAAGTGAGCAGTGAGAGTCTGTGAAAGCAGAGCAGTCTGGAGTTGGCTTCAGGAAGACCAGAGGCCTTCAGGTTGGTGTGTGTGTCTGTGGTGTGCGTGTGAAAGAGGGGGTGCTGCGTCTTTGCCCCCCCAGTCCTCCAAATGCTTCTTTGAGGCAAGAAACGCCTCTTGGTTACCCTGCAAAGATTTGGGTGTTCCTGGCTTTCTGCCAGCAGCAGTTCTCTTCCTGGTGCTGCCTTGCATGTGTTCCAGGAAGACGGGCATAATCCTTTGAGCTCGGAGAATGTGGTGGTGCAAGTGGCTGGTTTCTTTCCCTAGTGCATTTGGCGTGTAGAGCTCCTGATCTACGCAGCCGCTCGGCAGGGAAGGTCTGGTCCGGGCTTCCTTTTGTGTGAGGGGGTGCATCTTGTCGCCGAAGCTCTTGCGGTGGCCCTCGCCCTTGAATGCCATGTAGGTGTGGGAAGATCCTTCCCACTTCTCTGCGTGGCGCTCTTCTCTGCTGGTACGCAGAAAAAGATGGACTGTCCACAGTGGCCAGCCAGGTGAAGGTGCCTGTGACCATGGGCAGCTTTGCAGGGTGGATAAAAATCAATCACAATTTAAAATTAAAAAAAAAAAGATGTAAAAAAATTAAATTACCAAAATGTTCATATTCTTGGTAATTTATATTGTGATTTAAATCATGATTTATATTTGTTTTAAATCAAGTCCCCCCTTGCTTGAGAGTAACAACTTTTCTCCTTGTTGTCTGAAGAAGGCACGCAGTGGGCCCTTTTGAAGATGGCCTCCCCCATCCTTCCGCCTGTGGATCCAGGGAACAGCATGGAAAAGCCTGCTCTGTTCTTCTCAACGGAGCCAGGCACGGAAGGGTGGAGAGTGTCGTCCCTCCAGCCATGCAGGCCAGGTTCTTAGAGGTTTTTGTTTGGCTGCCTTTCCTACAACTGTTCTAACATTTCTTACTTCTGACATGGCTCAAGGGTGTGCATGTGTCCTCAGGGGTGGGCGGGCTGCCATTGGGTCCCGTGGGGCTTGATCGCTCAAAGGTAAGAGTGTGAGTGCACGGTGGCCATCTCATGTCTCACAGGAAACCTGTAGCTACTTACATGCTCTGGAAGCAAGAGTGACAGGTTGTTTTGCCAGGCTTTGCCTGGGAGTTGAGATGCTGAGGCTTCGGGACCAGACGGAGGTGGATCAGTGAAG